AGCCCCGGTGCCTCCCCCTCGGAACCCCCCAGGAATAAACAGCAAAAAGGCCGGGGTGAAGCTCATCGTCAGGCTTTTTTTTTTTTTCCCCTCCTTCCATGTGAAAACTTTTCCCTGGACGTGCACCGAGCTGAGCTGTGGAGGAAGCGCTCCTGTTTTGTGCCCCCGTCCCACCTTTTCTGCCTTTGAACGAGTCTCCTGCGCCTGAGTCAGCACAAGGGCGGCAGCTCCGTGACTTTAGTGCTCCAGCCCCGCCGGAGCTTTCCTTAACGGACAGACCGGAGCGTGCCCAGGTGCAGCCCCGCTCAGGAGAAGCGGTGCCAGGGATCCTCTGCGTTCCTCTTCCAACGTTTTTGTGTGCGCCGCCTATTACAGAGTTTTCCGGTGATGTTTGTGGGAAGGAATCGCGCAGCAGCGCACGGGCTCTTGAGCTGTGGCCCTCAGCCTGCTTCTAATGCGAGTGCTGAGTCCTTGAGGCTTTTCCATAAGGGTTTTACACAGGGAAGCAAATAGGAATTGCCTCTTAGCCATCCCATGCAGACTACTTCGTAATTCACAGACTAGTATAGCAGTGGCTCCCAATCTGATGAGCTCTATAGACTGCTGTAGACGTGTCCCTTTCTTTGGAATAAAGTTTGCAAAATGCTCTAGTTTTGCAAGGAAACTGTCCTGTTGTGCTAGTATCAAATATAATAAGCTGGACTGTCGCTGCCTTTCTTGTTGTCCCCACACTGTTCAGGCCTGGTGCCCCGCTGCGCATCCCTGTGCAGTGATTTCTTTCTGCAAACCTCTAGGACAGTTTTTTGTTAACTCTCATTAGGGATCTTGTTACATGAAATGTGAATTTGAAAAAGGTAAAGCTAGGCGAATCCAAATTCAGCTAGATTCTTAGACTTTGCAAGACATAGTCTGGTAAAAACATATATAAACAGTGCTTTTTTTTCTCTTTCTAATAATTGTGGCTGGTAGCATCAGTTGCCTGAACACCAGTTAAAGTAGGTATATAGGAAGAAAGCAGTGAGTGTACAGTAAGAGGTGGGATTTAACTGTTGGAAAGTTGCATATTTAGCTTGAGAACAACCATGGGAATAGTGTGTGATTGTCCTCTGGGGTACCAGGTTGTTCCTCTGCAGCTGCCTGCCAGGCTTAGATCTGCCAGGTCCCGACGCAGGCAGCCCTGGACGTCACCCTCTGTGTGCAGCGTTGTCACCCTGGCAGAGACAGAGGAACGAGCAAATTCCCTGTGTCAGGAAGAGTATTGGCTTGGTGGGGGCAATCTGGAATCTTGTGTGAAAGCAGTTAATTGCTCTGCCCTTATGGCCTTCTGCCAAGTGCAATATTATCAGGAGGCCTTTTACAACAGACACTGATGGCCCTGGGGAAGGATGTTTTGCTTTGATTTAGTCAAGTGGATTTTCTAGACTGAAAAATCAGAATCAAAGTGGAGTTTGGGGATGATCTTGGGAATGCGATTGTTGCTTCAGATCGTAATTTTGTGTGTGTGGAGGGAGCAGACTTGCAATTTATGTAACTGGGCTTAATGTTACTTAAAGTTACATGTGGAGACAGTTGAGATGGAGCACCTGGAAAAACCTAGAGCAGCAGCTTACTTGGAGCTTTTGGGTACCTTTCATGTACACCCCTTTTTCTTTAAAGGAGCTAAAAAGACTTAACAGATTGAGGGAGCAGGGAGATAGTCAGAACAGGGCAATTATCTAACATCTGTTACGTAGCAGTCTCTAATGCTCCAGGAAATCATACAGCAAGGTGTAATGTTGTGCTCCTTGTAACTGGGGAATTCCTGTAATCGCTGCATGTTTTCCTTCCCCTGTTTCCAGCTCCAGTGCTCCTATGGTGTCCTATCCCTAGTCCATCCTATGGGAAGGAAGGAGGAATGCTTTATTGCTGTTAGGGAAGCCCTTGGATATTGCTTTTCGTTGTAACCTGCGATGCAGATGTTCACTTCCAAGTAGTAGCTTCTCCAAAGAATCTTGCTGGAATACGGTACCTTTTCGCTCTTTTCAAGGACCTCCTGTCAACTGCCTGAGCAAATTCTTTAATGGTCAGCGGGGCAATAGAAATAGTCTTACATTACCTCAAGACAAAAAAAGGGCTTTTACAATATCTAGGAGCGGGGGAGGAAAAAGGGAGAAGTTTGAAAACCTGCTGTGCATTTGGACTTACAGGTAAAGGCGCCTGTTTGTACGTGCAGAACGATGCTGTGCTGCAGTGGAGAAACTGGCTGGTTCTGGTGGGTAAACCCCAGTGGTGCTGGATTTCCCCGAGTGCGCCGTAGCTGTCCGAGACGACTCCCAGTGGGGGGTTCTTTCCTACAGCTTTCCTGCACTGGAAAAGCTCTGGCTCTCTTGTTGCCTCCTTTCTGAGGAAAAGGATATAGTTTTATCAACTATAAGCCAGTAATTTATGCTTGCAAAGTGTATGCAAAAAGTGCCAAAAAGGGGAATTTATCCTGCCTTTGTTACTTGTCTTAGTACTCAGCAACTTGCGATTTCTCTGTTAACTCTTCTTCCTTCTTGTGATTTATAGGTGTTGTTGTAGTGTGACTGATGTGGTGCCTTGCAAGGGCAAGGTGGTTGGATCGCGTGTGGATGTTGTGGGAATCATACCTTTCACCTGGAGTATAGGATTGAGGTCTGGGAATTTTGCTTTGCGTGGATTCAGGCAACACTTCAGCTAGGGTGACATTCTGAGAGGTACCTCTGACAGGTAAAAACAGATACCCCTCGGGGGAGTGAAGAGAGAAGCTGAGAAGCTTTACTGATTCCGAAGAGTTTTTGTGGTCTCTTCTGCTCTGTCTTGTGTAAACCGCGCGGTTTCAATGTGAGCCACATGATTCCCGTTGGATTCTTCCACAGCCTTTTTTTGCTTTATCAAAGTTGCTTAAGCAGGTAGCTATTGGGTAATAAAAATGGAATTAGACCCAAACTGTGCCCTGGTTCCCC